GTCGTTTGGATGAGCACTCTGCTGCCCTAGAGCGTATGAGACTTGCTCCGCCTAGTGAATTAATTCCCATAGCCTATCCTCGACTATACTCGATCGCTCGTCTCTGTATGAATCCTTTAGGCGCGTTAGGGGTTGATGAAACCTCTGATGCTGTCTCGGCAGCTGTAGTTCGACTGGCAGATAAGGCACGTCAGGCTGTTTCGCTCTCTAGTCCAACTAAGCGATCCAATACATCTGTGCCAGAACCTTGCAGGATTAGTCGAAATGAGACATCTCGTCGGAAGGAAGAGACTGGATATGCTAAGGAGGCGGAGGGGAGGGAGGAAGAGGAGGATGAGGATGCAGTAGAAGTTGGGGAATCGGATGAAGAATCCTCTGCAGAAAGCTCGGACTCCACGAAAGATTGGCTATTTACTGAACTTCCTGGGCAGCTTAAACTTTCAGCTCAGGTACTGTTTTGACAAATAGAACTATTTTTGCCACAAACGATTTACTTTTCAATAGCACTTAAGAATAGAAGAGAGCAGTAATTGTCCTGACCTAATAAATTAGTGACGCCTGCGGAAACTAAATAAATTTTTAACTGTTATCAATTGGTTGGACGCTGTTATCCGTGATAATGCTTGATATCTTTAATCTTCTATTTAAGTCAATCTCTCTGATACTTCGTGCGTTTTGCTTCATGTCTTACCTAGCCACAATCAATATATATAATCTTACTAGCTTTTATTAAGTATTGAAATTCTTAGATTGGAATTAGTTATACTTATATCCTTGCACATATCTTACATTTCTTTAAATAATTCGAAATCGTATTTGGCATGGATATTGCGAATAACGGACTCATAGAGACTTACGGATGGGGTGGTTGTTCATAACCTTGCTTTGAATATTTAGGTCCCTTTGGGAACTTCATATTTAAGCGTCTACTAATACAGGACGACATTTTTGCTAGTTACTCTTACAAGGATAGGGCCCAACAGGGCCCCAACAAATAGAATGGCAGAAACCATCTATTTGCAGTCTACTGAAACTTGACAATTTAGCTCAAGATTCTAGTGTCAATTGAATGCCTATTATTGTGGAAAAATTTTCTATCAATCGCCTTAATTCATCTGTGCTCATTACAGTTCTTATTCAAAATCTACTCATCGTTTTAGGAATTACTCTTGATAAACAAGAAAAACAGAAGAGCCGCTGAGCAAAC